ACACAAATAAACTTTGATCTAGACCTTTCCGTCGTATCATTGGCTGCATGTTTATTTTTATTTATTTTTTTTTTTTTGCAGTCTCTGATATATTTTCTTTCTTCTAAGCTCTCCCACAGCCTGACGCCACTGCTGCCATGTTTTGAGATGGGGTGGTTTAAGTGTACGTTTTCAACCCACACATAAAGTTCAACTTTGTTCTTATCTGCAGGAGTCTCCCCTCTCCAGCCCTTGAAGTGCTAATGCTCATGCTAATGTTTCAGATTGGCCCGGTACACGCTGGTTCACTCAGAGGCAGACAGAACTGAAAACAAATGAAAGTTCTGCAATAAAGCTGAAGGTGTTACTTCATCCCTCCAACTCCATTAATTCCCCTTTGAGGACAAAGACGATGGATCAACCCCAACAATTATGTAATGTAATGTAATGATGGTCACTCGTAATGTCTAAGTTATAAGAAGCAAGAAATGTTGGCTGAATTTCAGAAGCCTTGAGTTTAAGCCATCCAGAAAGAGGAATCTTTGATCATTTTGCTTTGCGTAACCTCTCAGCACAACCCAAAGGTTTCACAGGTTTTACGTCTGGCGACTGAGATGGAGATGGAAGAAGAAGCTTCCTTTTGTGTCTGTGAAACTATTTCTAACTTGACTTGCTTTTATTTTTATTTATGTCAGTTTTGGTCCTCCATACCGATACACAGTATTGCATATTGAGAGGTACAATATGACCCCATTTCAGTTTTATGGCAAAGGCCTTTATATTTACATTTTTTTCAAACAGTTCCTAATCTCATGGACTCTAACAAAGTTTCCTGGACCTTTGGAAAATGAACAGGCCCGTAGCATCACATATCCTCTTCCAAACACACCAGAGTGCATGTGGTGTTTTAATACTTTACTTTATGTCAAACCAACCTGGAGTGTTTATTGCAGAAAATGTAATTCCACACAGCACCAGGAGTTCATATATTTTCATTTGTGATGGTAGAGTTTTTCTGGTATCATTCTATCATGTGGAGACACAATAGAAGTATCACTCCTCAATAATATTTTTGTATGCTTTCCAGTCAACTCACCCGTGACTGGAAAAGAAGTTAGAGAAACAACTGCACTGTAATCCATGTGACATTTATCCATCTGCGTATCTCATTTATGACAACAACGCCGATGTTGTCGTACAGCTGCAAGGATCAGCTACAAATAAAGAATGGATGTAAAACATTGTCGTTTTTAAAAGACTGTTCTTGAGGAACAAGACGCGGGTTTGCAGATTTATCTGCTGACCACGTCGATTCCCCGCTGCGAATTCTCATGTTCATAAATTTATCAAGGGTCTTTTGTTCTCCTGAAGTCCCAGGATATTTGTTTATCTGTTCCACTTTGTGTGCGACCTTAGATAATGCTCGATCCGATAAATCAACAAACGTTACCGAGTGAATTAACTTCTCCTTTCTCTTTGGTAATGAAAAACGCTAAAAATACCCACTCATGAAGTCACTGGCTTATTATTTTTGTCTGCTGGCACCAGTGCGGGGCAAATGGGTGATTAAGTGTTTTTTTTTGTGAGTTATCAGACACTTGCCAGGAAGTGAGAGAGGGTCACAAACAGGAAGCAGAGGAATGTGCTTCCTGTTGGCCGGTGGTTCTCTACAGGGCAGATTCCATGTACCATCATGACTGACGCACTGATGCAACACTGCGAACACACACACACACACACACACACACACACACACACACACACAAGTATAAACACACATGCATAGAAGGAGGCAGGAATGTTTTTCCACCGAAATCAGGGAGAAGCAGACTGTCAGGAAAGGCAAACAGTAAGAGAAGATAACATTGAGACAGTGTGTCCATGTGCAAGTCTGCAAATGAGGGAGCAAAACTTTTGGCTTTAGTAGGAACTCTAAACTTGTTCCTACTAAGTTGCTTATTTCTCCTGCTTTGTCTTTGGTTGAGTGAGGCAGGAGGAAAACAGAAATCAGACAACAAAGTTAATGATCTGTAACTGGTCTGAAATAAATGTGGTGGAGCCACACGTGTCAGACCATGAAGTACAAAATAAAACAGAGACTTTCCAATTAAAGGTTTATAAAAAAAATATCCACAATCAAATAGATAAAACATAATGTTTTATTGTGGTTTAAACAGTTTTATGGCAATGCTAACATTTATAAGCACTGCTGACACAAATGGGCTTGAGAGCAAATTTATTTACCTTAAGAGTCATTGGCAAATTCTCTGTCAATGCTTCATGCTTCTGTTTTATCAAAAAGGTTTGGAGATGAGTGTAGAAGCACTTTGCTTCCAGTGAGGCTGAATTTATTCTAATACCCTCAAGTAGATTTGATTAATATTTCTTCAGGCTTTCTAAATTTTACTCATTTTTTTCATAATGAGATGGCGTTTTTTTGTTTGTTTTTTCACTAATTTCCAGCCTTTTGTGTAGCCTGTGGATAATATGAAGACATCTGAAGGGGCGTGAAAATTTAGACGATCTCTACAAGCAAACGAATGGCATCGGAAAGTCACGTCTTCAAGAAACAGCAAGAAATCCAACTTCAGTAACAGCACAACGCATTATTGACAAAGTTTTCTTGTGGTGGGAGGACAAACCAAACCAGTAAAACCATCTAATTAGTCTGAATTTAACTTGTTAAGTGCAGTCTAACATGCATGTTTTCTACCCAAATTAAATGGATGTAAACTGTTGCATCAATTTTATTGGTTGCATACCAACAGTTTGTTTTTGTCAGTGCGGGTTTAGGAGTTGGTTTATGCCGAAATGATTCATAGGTCAGAGTAAAGTGGCTTGAGTCACACACAAAACATGCTCTGAAAATTACCAGGCGCTGGGGTTAATTAAAAACTCCCCCAGTACCTGGGGGTTTCAAAGTAACATTAGATTACTTAAGAAGAAAGGTTTTTGATCAATAGTTGTTCAAAGATTGAAATGAAGCTCAACTCGGTGAATACAAATGACGCTACAGTCTGTCCCGCACGTGCCGCGTGTAAATGTTCACGTTCTGAGGACAAAGTGGAGATCAGAGTAAGAACCGGAGGGGTTCAGGGCAGCTGATCACAAAGCTGCTCCGTATATAAAATTGACATTGTTTGTCCTTGAGGGCTTCCTGATTGAATCACACAGGCTCGATGACGTCATCAGAGGTTTAAGTCATATTTGGGATTAGGGGAGGGTGAGAGGGAGAACGAGATGATGATGATGATGGTGGTGGTGCGGGGAGGGGGAGGGGGGAGTTTGAGCGAATGAGTCACTGCTTTACTGATGACTCTCTCCACTGAGTGGTCAGATAATTCAGGTACAAAAAGAGACACAGACACAACACGACCGCCTAATGGTACTCAAATAAAATGACTTATTGGGAACTCGCAAAATACACCTTTTAAGAAGATTAAACAGTAGATACCCCCCCCCTCCCTCCCGCCCCCACCTCCTCTGCTGCTGCCCCCTTGAAAAGGGACTGGTGAGAAACAATGATGAATCCAGTTGTTCTAAAATGAATCCATGAGCGGGGATTTAAATAATTGATATCTTCTCTGCTGTCACAAAGTGGTCCCTGTGCGACATTTAACAAAAACGATCTGATCCATTTAAGAGCTGTTTATCCTTGACTTGAATTAATGTCCCACTCTGCAAAAAGCCTCCGGTCTGTGCCTTGCCGCCTCGGTTACCGCATGCCCTGCTTTAATGCTTGGACTGTTGAACATGGCTGCCAAAATCGCAAACACTTTTGATACCAGCACAAAATTACCGCAAAGTGACTGGACTGAAATGGCCGTCATTTTTCGTCAAGCAAACTGCAAAAGCCGCATGTCAAGCAAATAAATCAGGTTTTATTTGCTTGTAGGAGAAAGTTTGGCAACAATAACACGAAGAGGTCATTTTCCGCATCTCACATCATGAACTTTGACTCACCAAAGAACATTACTTTGTCACTTTGGCATGATCCAATCTTAAGAAGTATGGCCTCAATCGTGCCTAGGATAATTTTGCACAGAGATGACTTCATGGTCAACAAGTTGTCTCTAAAATCTCAGGCTCTGCACTTGCAAAAACAAACTTTGATCATCAACCCTACACTGCTTGCACTTGTTGGGGTTTTTTTTGCTAATCATTGAGCTGAACATCATATCCTGACATAATCCACTTTGATCTGATCTTTTCAAATGACATTTATGTTTCTTTCAGCCGAATATTTGAAAACTATAAATGTTTAAGAGAGAAAATGAGCTTTCCAGCCATAACTTGCAACACTAAACATGCTGAGGCAAATGGAGCCTGAGGCTCAACTCTTTAGGTTTCGTCATTTCTCGGGACGTTGCACGGTTTCACTTTGCTGGCACGTCTACTCCTGGGAAAATCGACAACCGGCTTAAATATTTTGATTGTACAAACTGTATCATTAACACCGTAGATGGAAAGAATTTAATGATCTTTCCCACACTGACAGTGTTATAATTACTTCTCAAAAGCTGTTGCTCATCTCTTCCCACCTTTTACTGGATTCACAACAGATGTGCCCGTATCTGCTGATAATCATTTAACTAGGAGTACTTTGTGCTGCTTTAACTCCAACAGGAACTACCAGGCTGTACTTAAATCTTTCACATAGTTGATCTGGTTTGCTTTCAAGTTTGTCACTGAGGTTAGAGTGAGTACTTTCTACTGAAGCGTAAATAATAAAATATATCAGTTTGCATGTCAGCTCGGTCTAGAATAACTAATGTGAATAAATTATCTCAATATATTCTATAACAGGTTGTTGATACCACATACAAATGTCATAATGTGGTCTAAGAAGTTTAAAGTTGCTTGTATGACATAGAAACTAATTTTTATTAAACCAACAACAAGCTTTCTGATTCAAAAAATATCAGCTGAGGTTTTGTTTGTATGTAGTTTCTTTTTACTTCCCTTTTGTCAAAATGAAAAGTATTCAAAACCATATTTGAACAAAACTATTTTTAAACAAAGTACAAAAATGGGTAAATACAAAAACATAAATGTAGAAAGGATGAGAAATATAAACAAAAAAAAAACACTTGTTGCACATCAGAAGACGATGGAAATGTGGCCATTTAGGTGACATGTTGTTATACTGTTAATATCAGGCAGCTTGTCAGGAAGGACTGAGAATCAAACTGTGAATAAAACTGCAATACTATCAATCTCCCAGCAAACAGCATCAGGTTCAGCTTGGTTTTTGATCAAAAGGTCTAAAAAATACCACTTTGTCCATGATGAATAAATGGCTCCCTCTTGTGGTGGCACTTAAACAGTTTGTGGGGATGCAAAATCTGAATATGAATCTTACGTTTGCAAAGATATTGTACAACAATATCATCCTGAAGTGAGAAGACCGTCGCTCAGATCAAAACATGGGAAAGTGTCATGCATCAAATGTGAATGAAATGACATCCTGACTTCTGATGAGGGCCTCTTTCTGCACCCCGATGGGAGTGTGCAGGTCGGACACCTGAAAGTTGAGCACGTCGATGTCCGACGCCCCAAACGTGGCCTCGACGTTCACCTTCTCGTGCATGTGGAACCGAACCTTCTTGTTGGACATGGCGAGCAGGCAGCGCAGGAAGCGCTCTCTCAGCACCGAACGCGCATGCTGCTCCTCCTGCAGCTGCTGGGGGTCCGACTCCGCCGCGGCTGACGTGGGGATGGACGTGCGGCACAGGGCGATGAAGCGAGGAGAGTTTGGGTCGAACCCTCGGCTGTTCGGGTCCGGACCTTTCGGTAGGCGAAGCACAGGAACTGGTGTGGCCATGTTGAGATTCTGTAAAAACAACAACAAAAAAAATGTTATTAAAACGATTCTGCAAGAATGTTTCTCATTTTGCTCATTTGGTTATTGCTTAAAGGTGATTTTTCCTCCACAAGAATCCTCACGGCTAAACAAGTTTGCTTTTCTAAATATATTGATGGAAAGTTGAGTGGAAGGGAAAAGTGTGGTAGGCAAAGCCACACAAACATGGCCACCTACAGCCTTGAAGCAAAGCCCTTTTAAAAGTTTGGTGGAGATTCACAAGTAGTGGACTGAGGCTGAATTCAGTGTTTCATGAATCACTACACATTGATATAACCAGGACATGAGCCGCAACTGTTGCTTTCTTTGCTAACTCCTAAACTGGACAAAACACCAGAAGGATTCAAAGTGGGCTAAGCAGGAAATGCCTTGCAAACTATCTTAACATAAAGCCAATAGATAATTTAAGGAGTATAGTCAAGAGAAAGATGAGACAATAAACTAAGAGGTTCAGGCTTCTATTAAAGCAACCTGGGCCTCCAATGTACCTCAGCACAGCCACATATGCCTCACCAGTGATGCAGTATTTTATGCAACAGGAGTGACAGCTACATATTGAGGACACCTCCTATGTAGGGCATAGCTAATCAGTCAATTAATCTTTATTAACGCACAAGCCCATGGTTACAGAGATAAAAAAAATAAACATAGAACCATAGTGATCATATACAGATAGTTATAAAAGCAATGTAATTTTAGAATGACTACATAGAAGCATAAAATAAACCAAGTTACACAAAAACTTTAAAAGTTCTGATTCTGTAGGATTTGTGAGCACTGAGACTATACTGTTTACAGCACCATTCAATTCTCATAAACAGTAAACATTAACTCTCTTAAATGTGGTTTAAAATGCAAACAGCTGTGGTTAAACTCCCTAAGCCCCCCAGGTAATTTAACGAGGATCCTGAAAGCTTCTTCTGCACAACACAACTTCTGCACAGTCAGCGCAGCTGCTGTATACCAACACTAAACCAACAATGTATGCATGCTGGCATTGTGCATTCATCCGGTGCTACAGGCTACCAGCTGTATGGACATCTAAATAAAAATTAAATAGCACTGGAGATAATATTCACACTAACACCAAAGTGAGCAGAAATACTGCTTCCCCCATTAAATTAATATTACGTTGTGTAGCCGTAAAAGAGAATCCTCACAATATATCAGGAGAAACCCCCGTTGCTTTAATTGATCAAAAAGAAAAATAATAATAATGGCAAACGACCTGTTTCAAATCTGTGCGCTTTCAAACATAGCAAACCTTTTAGTTTTTGCTAACTTTAAAAGTTAACGCGTAGCTTTATATTCTAATTCACTAGTGGGAAACATTTTGAACAACAAACCTATTAAATTAAATTTAGTTTCGGGTAATACTCATAGAACGTTCGTGAAGCTGAAACTAAAACTTTAGCACATTTGTAACTATGATATTTGCTGTACTTACTGACGGCTTCGTCCTGTTAGCAACATTAGCAGTTGCTAACAGACAACGTTTCTGGTGTGTCTTCTTCCTCCCATTGATCCAAGCAGGCAAACGAAGTTTTGGTGTACTGCTGCCCTCTTCAGTTCAGATAATGTCATTGCCTAAAATCCTCTAATTTAATCCAGATTTTGTGAGAAAATATAACTTTTTAAATTAGTTTCTTCTTCGTCTATGTGATTAAAATAAATTCAGAATAAAAAAATATTATCACACCTGAATATGGTATTTAAATACTTTACTCTTTTGACATCTAGCTTTTGACATCTAGTTAGTGTCTCAATAGAAACCAAGCAGTCACTGCAAAACAGACTGTTTTGCTTTTGTCTCCAATTTCAAATTCCATCCAGACCGCGGGTCTGGATGGAAAGGTGTCAGTTGTATTCCTGTTAGTATGTCTAGCTAGACTCAGACGCCTTGTTATGGATACAGTCACAGTCAGTACATCAGATTTTTACGTACATATGTGCATGCTAATTTGACATTTTCTCAAGCTGTTGCCGAAGGTGAGATAAGATTTAAATTATTCCTGTTTAGATAATATAGCAATTATCTAAATACTTATACACTCCATCTTATGGTATTTTTCAGCTTTGGTGTTAAGCAGTTATTGTCTCTTTCCAAAATACAGCTCTGGAAAAAATTAAGAGGCCACTGTAAAATTATCAGTTTCTCTGATTTTACTTTTTATAGGTTTATGTTTGAGTGAAATTAACATTGTTTTTTTTTTTTATTCTATGATCTACTGACAACATGTCTCCGAAATTCCAAGCAAAAATGTAATATTTATTTGCAGAAAATTAGAAATGGTCAAAATAACACAAAAAATGCAGCGCTCTCAGACCTCAAATAATGCAAAGAAAACAAGTTCATATTCATTTAGAAACAACAGCACTAATGTTTTAACTCAGGAAGAGTTCAGAAATCAATATTTGATGGAAAAACCAGGAGGTTTTCAGTGGTCTCCAGATCTGTATTTCACACAGAACAAAGTAGCATAATCAAGTAGTTGTATGCAAATACAGACCTCATGGTTTTCCTTCTGTTATTTGTTATAAGAAATAATTATTGTTTACTTTATTACATGTTTTTTTTCTTCTCCACACTAATATGTATATGCAAAGCCTAACTTTTCTTCTAAAAGTGCACATTTTGGAATCAGTACGTTCATGTAATACACAAGCAAACCAGCAGAGGGAAACATTTCAGAAGGAATTGACAAATGAAACTCCAGCAGTGAGTCTAGATTTGGCAGCGAATAAATCCAACAAGTCAAATTTATATTCACTGGTACATTTTATATTTTTATCAGCATTTCCATCTACTAAAATAAAGCACAGATGACTTCAAAAATAAACAACATATCAACAGAGATCAGGAAAACACAACGAGGTCTGGTGGTTAAAAATTATCTTTCGTCTTGATAAATCAATGTTACAGTGCCATTATACTCAACTTGGACATTTTTTACTTTTATCTTGGAGAAATATCAGAGAGAGACACAATAAGTAAAATGTTTTGTTCTCCGGGTCATCACCTTTCACTTTTCGATTTCCACCATACTTAAGTGGGTCCCTTATGGGATAAATAGTCCTACATGGTGGTCCTGCATGGAAAACCCCATTTAAGTGGCCACTTACATGGTGGCCATCACAGATGTTTTGGGTTTTTTCAGACAGAGGATTTATCTGGACAAACCAATGTGAAGCCACCATGGAAAAAAAACTAACAAAACCTTCTGGGACCCATATTGTTTGCCCTCATTTGTCCCATATGGGGCCCACTTACATATGCTAAATAGGAAACAGGGTGTTTGAAGTATGTAGAGATTTGTTTCTGGCTTTTTTGTTTTCTGGGGCCACCTGTTCTTCTGGAGGGTGATGGCGTTAATGCTAAAAATGCAAACATTTCAAGAATTTTTTTAACGATAAGAAAAATGTCGTAGGTTGTAAATTACTTGGTTTTAAATAGGTTAGAACCTAAATAATCTTAAATTTTATTAGTTAAAAATACTCATTGTTAGGTAATCACAACAGTTTCTTTCCTCCCACAGTGCTCATTGTGTACCATGGGAAAAAAGCTGTGGCAGTTAGCAAGGCTGTGTTCAACATTGCAACATCACTTGACTTGAAATTTTCATGTCAAGACCAGCAAACTTTATCCCCAGAGGGCAATTTATTGTGCAGACATCAAATATATATATAAAAAAATTCCCTTCTCACC